CATGGGATTGCGGAGAGTTGGACATGACTGAAGTGACTTAGCACGCATGAGACTTTGCAGGCTCTGGGAAACATCTATCGGATTCCCAGGTCTTGCTGCTGACTTTGTGTTGAGGACCACTTGCCACAGAGCTCTCCAAGGCCTTCAGTGCCACTGGCACCCCGGCTTCTGCCTGTCTGCCTTGACTGTGACCAATTCTAGATATGAAATCTCACCTTATGCACTGGGTAGCAAACTGGTAGGGCTTGTTTTTCTAAGAGGTTGTATTGGCTGGAAGTGAAACACCCTTGGGCAGAAGCCTGTTTGCTAGATCAGACTCTGAAAATATTGTAACAAAGCTCTGAGTCTGTGAGTAATTCTCTGTGCTTGTCTTTTCTTGTCTCCCCCCCCCCCCCCACTATGCTGGGTCTTTGTTGCTGCATGCAGGCTTCCTCTAGTTGCAGTAGCAGGGGCCTGTTCTTCGTTGTGATGCTTGGGTTTCTCATTGTGGTGGCTTCTCTTGTTGTGGAGCACAGGCTTTAGGTGGATAGGCTTCAGTAGTTGCAGCTTGCGGTTGTGGCTCATGGGCTTAGTTGCTCGGAGGCATATGGAATCTTCCCAGAGCAGGGATCAAAGCTGTGTCCCCTGCATTGGCAGGTGGATTCTTATCCACTGTAACACCAGGGAAGTTCTGTGTCTTCTTGTTCTTGAATGTGTCTCGACTGCCCAGATTATAAACCTCTTGAAAGGAATCACATTCTCTCTAGTGCCTTGACGAGATAGCATTTGCTCAGTAAATATTTGTGACATGAACCTGGGCCAGGAGAAATTTCCAGCCAGGATGATGGAGAAGTGTTAGGTGTTGTAACTTGGCAGCTACTAGGCATCACACTCTTGCCTCAGGGAAGGACCAGGAGTGGCAAGGCGCGGAGCAGGTTTCTAAGAGGTGAGAAGGATGGTGGTGGAGGCAGGGGGGAGGATTGTGCTGCTGGGGCTGTCTTTGCACGCCAGGCTTCCCTGTCTTTCACCATCTCCAGGAGTTTGCTCAAACTCATGTCCATTGAGTCAGTGATGCCATCCAACCATCTCATCCTCTTCCTGCCCATATTCTTTTCCAGCATCAGTGTCTTTTCCAATGAATCATCTCTTTGCATCAGATGGCCAAATATTGGAGCTTCAGCTTCAGCATCAGTCTTTCCAAAGAATATTCAGGGTTGATTTCCTTTAGGATTAACCGGTTTGCTCTGGTTTGGAAGTGTCTTTAGCCCCAAGTGAAGAATGGAGAAACCAGTGGGAGAAACAGGAAACTTGGGAGCTGGGAAGAGAAGCATCAGGCAATCACAGAGGAAGGATACAGTGCATTAATCTCAGATATGCTGTGGCTAACTAGAGTTTTAATAGACTGGCTGAAGAGCCAACCACAGTTGACAACATTGTTTCCTTGGAAAAATGCCTCCAGGTGGAGCAGGGTTTGGTTAAAGGTGAGAAGGGAGGGCACTGCTGTTCCTTTTTACTTATTCTTAGTTGGTATAACCATTAGGCTGATGTTGGCATCTAGCTTTGTAGGAGTAAGATTGCAGTAAATCATGCCCTTTTTTTCTGTCCGATTTACTTTTGCAAGAAAGGCTTGATAACAGTACAGTTGACAGACTCAAAAGGCGAGGGGCCCTGGAGAGGGAGAGAGAGGCCTGAGTGTCTCATTCGAGAGCGACATTAGCTCTCCCTGAATATCCGTGGGGTCCTGGCCTGAGCGAAGACTCTGATGATTGGAGCGGGCAGAGGACAGTTGCTGTGAGTTGGGAGAGGCTGACTTCTTACTGAGCCCCCTCAGGGTGTTCTTAGCACCTCCTGGTCCATTTATTTTTAAAGTGCCAGCTATTTTGTGGGCGTGTGTGCTCCGTTGCTTAGTTATGCCTAACTCTTTGTGACCCCATGGACTGTGTAGCCCACCGGGCTCCTCTGTCCGTGGAATTTGGACCTCCTTAAATCTCGAGACAAATGGGATGTGGGCTCGAGAGGGTCCCTGCTCTTTTAAAATTTCTCCTCCTTATGATCCAGGGCGCAAAGCTAATGAGAAGGAGCGGCAGGCGGCCCTCCAAGTGGCCGAGGACTTTATCGCCCGCATGCGGTACGCCCCAAACACTCAGGTGAGGAGCCCTCCCTGGGCCAGCGCACCCTCTTCCTAAGACTCTTCCCTGGCCCCCTGCCCCTTGGACTGGACAAGAAGAGTGAGAAAGCCCAGGGCACAGTCATGAGCAGTCAGACCTCTCCTCCCAGAACCACCCAGTGGGAAGGCCCTTCCCAGTCCTTCAGAGTTTTACAGTACATGTTATTTCCTTTCTTTCTTTTTTTTAAACTTGTGAATGCACTTAAAAATTTTTTTTAAATTTGTTTTTAATTGGAGGATAATTGTTTTACAGTGTTGTGTTGGTTTCTGCCATTCGGCAATGTGAATCAGCCCTAAGAATACATATGTCCCCACTCTCTTGAATCTCCCTCCCACCCCACTCCCCCCACACTCCATCCTACCCCTCTAGGTTGTCACAGAGCCCCAGGCTGAACTCCCTGGGTTACACAGTAACTTCCCACTAGCTATTTTTACACGTGGTAGTATATATATGTCAATGCTGCCCTCTCAACTTGTCCCAGCCTCTCCTATCCCTGCTGTGTCCACAAGTCTGTTCTGTCTGCATCTCTGTTCCTGCTCTATAAATAGATTCATCAATATCATTTTTCTAGATTCCATATGTATGTGTTATTATACTACATTTGTTTTTCTCTGACTGACTTCACCCTGTATAACAGGCTCTAGGTTCATCCACCTCACTAGCACTGATTCAAATGCGTTCCCCTTCATGACTGAGTAATATTCCACAATGCATGTCCTTTTCTAAGAGGATGATGGGCAGCGCTCCCCTGGGAGTCCTGCTAGCCGAGTGTGCCTCTGGATGACTCATGTGGCTCCTCTGGGCCATGGTTTCTAGCTCGTTCTGCCCCTTCTCACTGTTTTCTCAGCCCATGTCCCTGTAATCTTTCTTGTCTCTTGGCTTATCTGGAAGAGCATCACTGGCTGGAAGGCCTCGTGCCCAGCACCCTCCTCCCTGGCTCTGGAAGAGGCAGAGGTGGCAGCCTTGTGAGCCAGACTCTCCCCTGCCATCCCTACAGGTGGAGATTCTGCCCCAGGGCCGCGAGAGTGCCATCTTCAAGCAATTCTTCAAGGACTGGAAATGAGGGTGGGCGTCTCCCTGCCCCACCTCCTACCCACCCGCTCCTCCTCTGGCCTCCTGGTCAGTGCTGAGGTGCCCCTGCCCATGGTCAATAAAGGAGACCAGTGCTTTTCTCGCTCTTTGCCTGCATTGCCTGCCCTGGGCTAATACTCCCTGCCCCACTAGTCACCCAGCTCCTCCCCGTGCTGGGCAGAGTAGAGGCGTCCTATGTGTGCTAAGTCACTTCAGTTGTGTGTGACTCTGTGACCCCTATGGATTGTAGCCAGCGAGGCTTCTGTCCATGGGACTCTCCAGGCAAGAATACTGAAGTGGGTTGTCACTTCCTCCCCCAGATCTTACCAACCTAGGAATTGAACCTGCATCTCCTGTTGTCTCCTGCATTGGCAGGCAGGTTCTTTACCACTAGCGCCACCTGGTGACAATTCCACAGCCTGTGAGAGGCCAGAGATGGCTTTGCAGAGGGGCCAGCTCCTGAAGGGGCCAGGCGCTCCCAGTGGGCCTGGTTGGCACTACTGCAAACCCAGTAGGGAGGTGGCATGGGGCCAGGGCTGGGATCACTTTCAGCCTGAGGTTCAGTTCAGTCTCACATTCCCGACTGGCGGCAGGTTGTGCAGCGGGCATGTGCCTCCATCCAAGCTGGAATTTCCTCAGGTGCTCCAGTGAACCGTTGCCAGGCAGCTTCCAAATGATGTATGTTCACCAAGCAAGAGCATAGCTCTTCACATCCATGCAGGAGGTCAGCTCGTTATGTCCTCAGTACACGGCATGGACTCAGGGCCACGTGGGGTCATGGGAAAAGCACCAGCCTAATGTTGAGGAGGGTTGTGGGTTCAGGTTCTCACCTGCCTCTCTTTGAGCCTGGGCAAGTTGCTTTTCCTCATCCAGGTCCTAGTTTTTTTGGTTTTTTTGGCCATGCTGCACAGCATGTGGGATCTCAGTTCTCTGACCAGGGATCAAACCTACACCCACCCCTTGCAATGAAGTCTGCAGTCTTAACCACTAGACTACCAGGGAAGTTTCCCTAGTTCATCCTCTTGTGTACTGGGGTGGTGACTGGAATAGCAGAGAAACTAGGGAGCTAAACAGAGGGAGAATGGAGTAACCCCAAAAGTCCCACCCTGGGGTGTGACCTGGGGGCAGGAACAAGGTGGGAGCTGGGTAAGCCTGGACTGGACAAACCAGAGTCCTAGAGGCTTGGCAGGGCTGCAGCCATCCTGACCCACGGTCACTCCAGGCCCTCAGATCTGTATGACTTTAAAGCCCTGACATACTGGATCTTCCATCTGAAAAAGAGTGGTAGTAGTGTAGTGTTAGTCACTCAGTCGTGTCCGACTCTTTGGGACCCCATGGACTGCAGTCCACCAGGTTCCTCTGCCCATAGAATTCTCCAAGCTAGAATACTGGAGTGGGTTGCCATTTCCTTCTCCAGGGAATCTTCTTGACCCAGGGATCCAGCCCGGGACTCCTGTATTGCAGGAAGATTCTTTACCATCTGAGCCACCAGGGAAGCCTATTCCAAACAGAAATTCTGATCAATTTCATCTCAGTGGTTTTGTGCTGAGAAGCACAGAAAAATCAGCTCTTTGCATATCCCCCTTGTTCTCCAACTTTCTCTCCACACAGAGACATCCCGGCCATCCCTCGATAGCCGATGCAAAGAGCACGTGCCAGGGGTGAATTTTCAAAGGGGAAAGAGGGATGTTTCCCCTAGAAACTGAAATATTTAGCATTGTAAAGCATTTTGGGTCTCTCATGAAAAGCCTTGAAAGGTTTTTCCCAAGAAAAATGCACAGATTTAAGATTTTTGTTATCTATTTTCAGAGGGTTTAGGCATCCCTCCACAACCACAGAATTCTGTCCATCTGCAGAATCGCAGCTTAATCCCTGGACAGTTATTCCTAATGTCTCCAGGTCCTAAAAGTCCTAAACTGTATGGAGAGCATCCCCCTGGCAGTAACACAGAATAGGCTTCTGCAGGGGCCACTGGCCTCCCCTCCAGCCAGAGGCTCTCTTGGGCTGGTCCCTGCCATGCCAGGGGCTGAGCACTAATGGTCAAAGTCTGTTGAGGTGGCCTCCAGGTCTCAGAGCAAGGGAATGGAATCTGTAGGAATCACTAAACTTGACACTCCAAAGTTGGGATTGGGTGGGGGAGGGTTACATTCTAAGCCCACCAGGCCCAGTAATCTCTCTGCTGCCATCTCTGCTGGTCAGGACGAAGGAGGAGGGCACAGGATTAGTTCAGGTCAGGCAAAGACAAACAGCAAACAGCAGATCCGTTACCAGCCCTACCCTTGAGGCATCCTGCTGATGGGTTCCTTCCATGCTTGGGTGGCTGTCTGTCATCTTCACCTTTGTGATGGGTCCCCCTGTACCCGGTCAGACTTGGAGATGCCCGCGGGGGCTGGACAGCTATCTTCCATGACTCTACTTGAGGGAGGTCAGAGGATAGGAGAGAAGCCAGGTGGGGCTCTCGCCTGGCCCCTGTTCCCTAGCTCCAAAGCCCTGGAGGCCCCTTTGCAAGTGAAAAGTGACAGGTAGCTTCCCCAGAAGCAAATATGGGAAAAACCCTGTGTGGATGCCTCACAACAGCCACCCTTAAGAACAGCCAGGGCCACCTCGACCAGTGGCTACAGTGTGCAGGGTCTCTGGGTCTGTAAGTGCAGCAGGATGAGGCTGGATGGCCTGTGAAATAGGCAGGAGTGTGGCCAGGGCACAGTAGCCTTCTCTCCCGGGGCCTGTGACCAGTGCCGACAACAACCAGGCTGTCAGCTGGCCAGAGTGCCTGGCTCTAAAGGGGGACCCTGGGATAATGGCCACAGGATGGTGCAAAATGTGTCTGGAAGGAAAACCCTTGAGATCCTAAACCTAGAAGAATTATTTTATTCAAAAACTGCTGGTGTGTGAATTTCCTCCTTCCTTCAACCAGGCCAGAAAACCAGCCCTGATGGGACATGTGCAGCCTCCAAGAGGGAAGCCCAGCTGCAGCCTGGTTCCCTATCTCAAACAGTGGGAGGAGGGATGGGGAGAGATGAGGGTGGGGTGAGCGCCAGACCAGAAAAGGCTTGCACTCTTAGCTCACACCGCCCCCTGTTGGCTGCTGCTGCGACTACCCTCTCCCTTCACATTCTAACTACTCAGTGCCCGTCTGGTCCCTGTCCTGTGGACTCCAGGGCCTGAAAGACCCACTGCCAGGTTCTAGCGCTTTTACTTGGGAGCATCTTTGATGGAGAACTGTGTGGAACATGCATATGGGGTCTCCCACCTGATGATCCATTCGCTATCACTGATACTACCTGGAATCCGACTACGGAAGCTGTCGCTCAACTAGTAATAAAGCAAAGCTCTCCTCGCCCTGAAAGCAGGGCTCCAGAGAGTGAGTCTAATCTAATGGCCCCCGATGTCTCAAGCAGGTGAGGGCCCCTGGCTCCACCCACCAGGCCCAGGGGCGTCCTACATTCCTGCCGCTAGGACCGGAAGGGGCGAGGCCCAGCCAGGATCCGCCCTCTGAAAGCCCCTCCAAGGCTTCCTCGCCAGGGGCCACCGGGGTTGGTCAGATCAGCCACGTCCCTTCGGACGAGTGTGATGACAGGTCACACACGCCTGTGAAAGTGAGATCCTTGGAGTGAGGGGCCTGTGGCCCAGAGCACTTCTGTGTCCCCAACAGGGAGGCCTGTCCCTTTGACACTCCAGCCAAGTAGATCTCCAGGGTTTTGAGCAGCCGTTTGGGGCTCTTCTTGGCCGACGCCTCCAAATCTGGAACAGAGAGGATTGGGGAACAGAAGGCTGGGGGAGGAGGCTCCTGGATGCACCACCCAGAGGCTCTGGAGAAAAGGGGGAAGGAATCTTCTAAGATGGACAGCTCACCAGAGATCCAAGACACCAGACTCGCGCACAGGGGCTACACACTCTGCCCGGTCCGGGACAATCTCAATTTTGAACAGTCAGTCTAACTGAGCCAAAAGTTGGGCCCAGCTTTTGATTCAGAAAATACGGTCACCAGAGTTGTTTGGCCAGAAAGGGAGGAGAGCGGCAGGCTCCCAAGGGTGGGGTGATGGAGACTTGGGATGATGGAGACTTGGGGAAACTGAAACTTGAGAGGGTATGAATGGGGGGTGGGGGGAAGGGAAGCCGGCCAAAACCAGCTGAGCAACCACCCTGGGGTCCCTGAACCCAGGGACTCTAGGAGTGCAGGAGCTAGGCACCCCCAGAAGAGCGAGCGCACCCTTGAGGACAAAGCCTGAGTCTGAGATGGTCTTGTGCTGTGTCCTCCAGACGTGCGCCAGGCGGAGGAAGGTGGCGGCATAGAAGCTGTTCACCACGGGTATCACTTTCTGCTGCCGGTTACACTCCCTGCAGGACGAGGATGGGCACCTGCTCAGCAGTGGACAGACACCTGGGGGTGCCTACACCCTGTCCCCCAAGGGACCCTTCCCGGGGCAGCCTTCACATCTGAGGTCAGGGTGAGGAGGAGGAAGGGGTTGGGAGGCTGGTGCAGGGGTAGTCTGTCCAGGTCCCCTGGAGCCAGAAGGTTTGGAAGAGAGCTGGGGGGATAAGATGGTGGGGGGATGAGGTGGTGGGGTGAGGGGACCAGGCTCTGACAGCTAGGGCAGTGAGCAGCGTGAGGACTCACCTGGAGAGACACTCCTCCCTTAAGGCCTGGATGGCGATACGCGTGATATTCACAGACATCAAACAGAAGGGGAATTGCTAGAATGGATGGGGTACCAGGTCAGTGGCATTCCAGGTTCTCACCTTCTGTGCTTCCCACTGCCCATAATCTAGACTGGCCCTCGGGAGATGACAACAATCACAGCCAGAGGCAAGCAGCCGGCATTATTGATGCTTACACTTAATTTTCACCACAATATTCCCATTTTACAGATAAGGAAACTGAGGCCTAATGACCTTAAGTAACTTTCCTAAGGCACAGAACCAGGATTCCTACTGAGGTCAATGCACTCCAAAGCTGGTGCACAAACCTCTGTGCTAGTTCTCAGCCTCTTCAGCATCCCACCCCCCAGCTCTCCTTGGCTTTCATCAGACCCATCCTGTGTGCTGCCTGTGGACCACAGCACCCCCTGGGGTTGGATGGACACAGGATGGGTGAGGTGCAGTTATCTAACCAATTCAGCAGGTTCTTAAAAATCTCTTCTCCCTTCTGTAGGCTTCCGGTTATGTCACTGCTCATAAGCTCTTCACCCAAAAGCTGACAGAGAAAGTACAAGTAGGCAGAGAGTCAGCCTTGACTTGGGGTGCACCCCGACTCTTGGTAACACAGAGGCCTGAGAATGGGCTGTGCAGGTCACACTCCTGAGAGGGGCAGCCGTGGTCCACCAGGGTGCTTCACCAAAAAGGGCCTCGGAATTCCCCGTGGGGTTCACATGAATGCTGTAGTTTTAGAGTGGCCACTTCCTATTTTTTATAAAAGATTAAAAAAAAAAATTTTATTTATTTTATTTTTGGCTATGCTGGGTCTTCACTGCTGTGTGGGCTTTTCTCTAGTTAGAGCATGTGGAGGCTACTCTCTAGTTGCAGTGCATGGGCTTCTCATTGCAGTGGCTTCTCTTATTGAAGAGCATGAAGCTCTAGGCATGTGGGCTTCAGTAGTTGCAGCACATGGGCTCAGCTGTTACAGCTCCCTGGCTCTCGAGCACAGCCTTATAGTTGTGGTGCACAGCATACAGGATCTTCCTGGACCAGGGATCGAACCTGCATCTCTTGCACTGGCTGGCGGATTCTTTACCACTGAGCCACCAGGGAAGCCCCTTTCCTATTCTTTAACAACAAAAACCCAACCAAATGAAAAGGGGCTGTTCCCAGAGGATCTGCAAATATTACATGTTAGTTTCCACCACAGTACCCACACAAGGACGTTGGCTGAGAGCAACACGTAGACCAGTTTGTCCCTTAGTTTAGAACAAGAACCAAAATTTACATATTCCATCTGCTACCCCCCAAAAGAAAATCTGTTACATTATGATGTAGAACTGTGCTGTCCAGTACAACAGCAAATAGCCACATGAAGCTCCTGAAATGTTAATTAATTGAAAATTAAGTAAAATTTAAAATTCAACTCCTTAGTCAAAGTAGCCATATTTCTTTTTTTTTTTTTTTAAAGATTTATTTATTATTTTTATTTATTGCTGCACTGTGAGGCATGTGGGATCTTAGTTCTCTGACCAGGGATCAAACCCACGCCCCCTGCATCCAGAAGGCAGATTCTTAACCACTGGACCACCAGGAAAGTCCCAAAGTAGCCATATTTCAAGTGCTCAACAGCCACATGTGTTTAGGAGCTGCTACACTGGACAGTGCAGACAGAATATTTCCTTCACTGCAGAAAGTTCTGGTGGACACATTGAACTGTAGAGGGTCATCTGGTTCCACAAGGATCTTTCTCAGGGTCTTCCATGACACCTGGATTCCAGATCTTGGCCTGGCCATCTGTGAGCTGTGTGTCCTCAGGAAGGCCACCGAAACTCCCTGAGACTTGGCTCTCTCTTCTCTCGAAACCAAAAAGGAAATAAACATTGAGTGCTGGGGCTTCCCCGAAGGCTTAGTGGTAAAAGAATCTGCCAGCCAATGCAGGGGACATGGGTTCCATCCCTGACCTGGGAAGATCCCACATGCTACGTAGCAACTAAGCCTGAGCACCACAAATACTAAGGCTGCACTCTAGAGCCTGGGAGCCGCAACTACTGGGCGTGCGCCCAGAGCCCACGCTCCACAAGAGTGTGTGTGCTTAGTCACTCACTGGTGTCCTACTCTGCGACTCCACAGACTATAGCCCACCAGGCTCTTCTGTTCATGGCTTCTCCACGCAACAATACTGGAGTGGATTACCATTTCTTCTCCAGAGGATCTTCCTGACCCAAGGATCGAACCTGGGTCTCCTACATTGCAGGTGGATTCTTCACCATCTGAGCCAGCAGGGAAGGCCCACAGCAAGAAGCCTGCACACTGCCACTAGAGAGTAGCCCCTACTTGCCGCAACTAGAGAAAAGCGCTCATGGCTATGAAGACCCAGCACAGCCAAAAATAAATAAGTTAAAAGAAAAACCAAAATACCTTGAGTGCTGTGCAGAAAATAGTGAACAAAGCAGACCTGTGGCTGCCCTCCTTAGAAAAGCATGCTTCGAAGGCTGGCATCTGGGAACCTGGATTTTGAGAAGGTTCCCACCACTCCCCCAGGCTGACTCACTGTACCTCATCTGTTTGTGCAAACCATGTGGTTCATGCTGAACACCTGCTTTCCATCTGATTCTGGAATTCTGGTACATGTTACACAGATGGTGGGCTTCCCAGGTGGTGCTAGTGGCAAAAAACCCACTGCCAGTACAGGAAACATAAAAGATACAGGTTTGATCCCTGGGTTGGAAAGATTCCCTGGAGGAGAAAATGGCTACCCACTCCAGTATTCTTGCTTAGAGTATCCCATGGACAGAGGAGCCTGGTGGGCTATCGTTCACGGGGTCACAAAGAGTCGGACACGACTCAAGCAATTTCACACACACACACACACACACACACACACACACACACACACAACAAAGAGTTGGACATGACTCAAGCAACTTCACACACACACACACAGATGGTGCCTGCATGACCAGCCCCCAGTAGAAACCTCAGAAATTGAATCACTAGTGAGGACTTGAAAGGGTAACAGGCAGGAAGGCCACAGGTCTCCAAATGGAGGAAATAGGCAGCAAGTGTCAGACTTTTTTTTCTCTCTCTCTTAAGCGGCAGGAGGAAACAAACTACAAGTGTCAGATTTTTTCCCCTTCTCTATACAAAGTTAAAAGGTTTCTATTAAAATTCTGTGTTGCCATGACCACACCTGGTTCCACCTGAACTTAACTTTTCTCAAACCTTGAGCTAACAAATGCATTTTTCTTATGGAAATGTTTTTCTTAAGCTATGTTAATGAACTGTATATTTACCCTAGACTGTCTTTCTTCAGGTAGGTTCCTGCTTAAGACTCAGAACCCAAAAGGGTTCAACAAACCAGTATGCCATTGTTCTCCTAATCTATGTTAATGAAACTACATATTTACCTGGAAATCTGCCTTTCTTCAAGACTCATGTCAATTGTTTTATGGCCCGGGATGACTCACCTTGTGCCAGTGTTATGGCAAAATGCATGTTGTGGGTGAGGGGCCTGGTGCCACTCTAAGTTTTGAGACATTTCCTTTCTCTAATTAACAGCTTGCTGATAGGTACATAACATACTGCTAAAGGCTAGCAGAAGGGCACCCTTTCTGCCCCCTTCTGATATCTATGTCAGAAACTTTCTCTATCTCTTTTATACTTTAATAAACCTTTACTACACAAAAGCTCTGAGTGATAGAGCCTCGTCACTGGCCCTGGATTGAATTCCTCTCCCTTGGAGGCCAAGAATCCCGGCGTCTTTCACGGCTCAGCAACAACCTTTCAGACCCTAGTTGGCAACAATCCACGTGTTGGCCAATGCTGGAATTCCGTGCATCCCATGTGCCTCCACGGGGAGAGGAAGCTCCTGGAAGCCTGTGTCTGGTGTCCGATGGATTCTGTCCACACACTTCTTCCCTCTGCTGATGTTGCTTTTGCTGCAGTTAATCACAGCTGAGAGAACAACTATAGGCCAAATCCTGAGAGTCCTCTCAGTGAACCGATGAACCTGGCAGTAGTCCTGCGGACCCTGACACATGAGCCATGCTGGGTGGAGTCAACTCGTTAACCATTACACAAACTCTCTGAGACAGCGTTTATGATCCACAGGCTACATTTTCTACTAGCCCACAACCTGCCTCACAGAGCTGCTCTGAGGAGTCATTTAGATCACACGGGCAAAATGCTAAGCGCAGTGCTGGCCTGAGGAGGTGCTAACAGATGTTCATAATTATCCATAGCTGAGGTCAGCAGCAGTGCATCTGTACATTCAGGTATTGACTACTTAATTATCACAATACTTGTGTAGTATCATGCCTTCCCTTGATTTCCTTCAGTCTAAAAATAAATATGCGAACAAGAACATGTAGTAACATAATTAACACAGGATCTGAACTTAGCATTCATTCACTCTTGGGAACATTCTTTTTTTTTCCAAAGTACTTTATTTTGTACAATATCTTTTTTTTTTTTTTCCTGGTTGTGTGGCTTGTGGGATCTTAGTTCCCCGACTAGGGTTTGAACACAGCCTTCACCCCCAGCCCCAGAGTGAAAGCACTAGTGCTAACCACTGGACCACCAGGGAATTTCCTGGGGAACATTCTTATAAAAACTTACTAAAAAGCCATGAAAAACTGGAATTCGGAGCAAAATATCTCCTTTCCTTCAGCAGTTCCCTTGGACCTGAAAGGTGTGGCTTTGAGCTAAAACATTACACTGAGGTGGTGTTCTGGGAACTGACTAAAAGAACAGCAGAGGGAATCAGACCTAGACACGTCTGAGTCTTCATTTGAAATTTCATTTCTCTTCATGCCTCACCTCTGAACCCTGAAGCAGGAATCCAGATCGGTTGGTTATTTTTGCGGCAGCTGCTGCCAACACAGCCCCACCCCCTGGAGATTCCAGTTCAGTAGTTCCGTGGAGGGAGGGGCCTGGGGACCTATATTCCCCCAGGTGACTGTGAGGTGGGCTGCTGGCCAAGATCCCCACTGTAAGGAGCACAAAGCTGGGCGAGCTGTCAGGAGACGGGGGTCCTCACGCCAGCTTCAGCACTTCCTAGCTGTCCAACTTTGTGTAGACACATTTCATCGCTCTGATTCTCATGTTCCTTCACTGGGAAATGAAGATTTCCAAGAATCATCTCTGCCCAACCTCTTGGCAGGCTCATCATGTTGATAGAATAAAATAACAGGTGGAAATGGCATGGAAGATGATACCAGTTGTTGACTGTGAGTAACTATTGTGGTGAGCTGCTTCTCTGCCTGCCAGCAATCAGCCCGATATAGCCTGCATCTTGCCATCTGAACTGTAGCACTCCCCTCCTCAGGACAGCATGGATCACATGCTTCCATGGAGTCCCAGGGTCCTCCAGCATCTGTAATGTCTGGCCAATTCCTCTTTAGCAGGATGTATCATTGAGGCTTCAGCTCTCTCCTTAGGGAACTATGCTGTGCTTGGTTGCTTCAGTCATGTCCAATCTTTGTGACTCTATGAACTGTAGCCTGTCAGGCTCCTCTGTCCATGGGATTCTCCAGGCAAGAACACTGGAGTGGGTTGCCATTTCCCCCTCCAGGGGAATCTTCCTGACCTACGGATTGAACCCACGTCTCTTAAGTCTGTATTGGGATTTTCCTGGTGGCCCAGTGGTTAAGACTGCATTCCCAATGCAGGGGACCCAACTTTGATTCTTGGTCAGGGAACTAGATCCTACATGCCTCAACTAAGAGTTTGCATGGCACAACTAAGACTCCATGCAGCCAATTAAAGAATACATAAATATTAAAAAAAAAAAAAAGTCTCCTGTATTGGCAGGCAGGTTATTTCCTACTAGCACCACCTTGTGGCTGACTGTATTTGGCCTTAGGGTAAGTTCTTCCAAAATTGAATGTCGAGCCCTTAAACTAATGCACTTTCTTTCCCCCCAAATATTTACCAGCTGTTGTTTCAGCCTCTGAATTAGGCCTCTGGTTTTCTTTACTCTTGGCAGTCAAAGGTCTAACAAAAGTCAGTCCAAAGTTAGGACTGGCCGCTGGCAGGGCTGTGTCCCTGAGCTGTTCCTGTGGCTGCCTACGTGCCTCCTGGAAAACTGTATTTTCAAGATTCATAAGGGCTTGAAGTGAAGTTTTAAGACACTGAAGAAAAAAAAAAAAAGAAAAAGACACTGAAGGACTTAAGAGTTCAAAGAACTATGAAGGTGGAAGGGACCTTAGGATCATTTAGGCCAAATCTCTTATCTCATAAAAGAGCAAACTGATACCCAGAGAGGGTAAGTGCATTCATGCTAAGTCGTTCAGTCGTGTCTGACTCTGTGTGGCCTTAGGCACTGTAGCCTGCTAGGCTCCTCTGTCCATGGGATTCTCCGGGCAAGAATACTGGAGTGGGGTGCCGGCTCTCCTCTAGTGGATCTTCCAGACCAAGCGATTGAACCCGAGTCTCTTACATCTCCTACATTGGCAGGTGGGTTCCTTACCACTAGTGCCACCCAGGAAGCCCATAGGTGACTTGCCTCAAATCACAGCTAAGTATTCATACCGCAGGTGGAACTAGGATCTAGATTCCTGACACCTACACCTGCCCTCTTATTATTTTAAGCTGCTGTTCCTTTTATTGTCTGGCATGCATATTGTGGAGTAAATATAAATTCACTATAAATTACACACAGGCCAGTGGGCAAAGGGATGACGAACAGGTTAGTCAAAGTGGTCAGGCTGGTCCGTACCCAGATGGCCCTGTACCCAGGGCTCCTCTCTCGTCTTGCTCTTCCCTCAGCCTGGCATGTTCTTCCCTTGGATATCCAGGGACCTGCCCCCTTCATCTCAGTCAAGCCTGTCCTTGAAAACAAATGAGGGATGCTGAACTTGAAATAACCCTCTACCCTGGTTTCCCTGTTTCTACAGGAAGGTCTTACAAGAGAGCCTTAATACCCCACCAGAAGGGAGGTACTGAGCTCTGAGATGATTTCTAGGAAATACTCATGAATTGTGGGACCCTGGGCAAGCCGTCTTCCCTCTCTGGGTCTCCACTTCCTCTACAACAAGAGGCTAGCCCATGATTGCTAAGCTACCCCTCAACCTTCAGGACACTTTTTCTTTTTTAATTATTTTTTATTTTTGGCTACACTGAGTCTTCATTGCTGGCCACAAGCTTTCTCTAGATGTGGTGAGCAGGGGCTACTCTCTAGTTGCGGTGCACAAGCCTCTCATTGTGGTGGCTTCTCTTGCTGTGGAGCATGGGCTCAAGAGCTCGGGCTTTAGTAGTTGCAGCGCACGGGCTTAGTTGCTCCATAGCTTATGGGAATCTTCCCAGACCAGGAATTGAACCCATGTCCCCTGCATTGGCAGCCAGATTCTTAACTACTGGACCACCAGGGAAGTTCTGGGACTCTTATGATGAAGCAGCACTGCTGCAGGAGATTGCACTGTTTCATAAGCTAACTGATCTGGTTCTTAAACTTGACCCAGACATTACCTCCCTGCATCATGAAGACCACTGAACACACCCACATTCTCAACTTGTGGGTCCTGATCTATCTCAGAACCAGATCCTCATGAAGTGCCCTCTTGCCTCCTCCAGTGTCTCCTGGAAGAGACAGGTGAATGTGAAGTCATCAGATGTAATCAGTGTTTTTTCCTCAAAAGATAATAGAGATATTCAGTGAACATCAGAAATGAGAAAACTGCCCACGTGATAGGAACTGTGTGATTATTTGTTTTTGTAGTCCAGGTGGCGCTAGTGGTAAAGAATCCACCTGCCAATGCAGGAGACATAAGAGACAAGGGTTTGATCCCTGGGTCAGGAAGATCCCCTGAAGGAGGAAATGGCAAACCCCTCTAGTATTCTTGCCTAGAGAATCCCATGGACAGAGGAGCCTGGCAGGCTACAGTCCATGAGGCCACAAAGAGTCAGATACAACTGAGTGACTAAACACACACAAGAAGTTTTAGATTCAAATGAATCTACTTTACTTTACAATGGCTGTATATATACGTGTATGATGTCGTGTGTGTGTCTGTGCACGCTCGTGCAAGTACAGATACAATTTTGAAAACACGATTATGTATTACATATGTTTACATTATCCATAAGATGTATATAAAAATGTATTTTAACTCATGGAAATCAAAAGTTACTATGATAACTAACATACTCCTTGAGTGACTAATGTGCTTAGCACTTTATACAGTTTTTCTCCAACTCAGCATAAATCTATAGGGTTGGAATTATTTTCTCATGTTACATAGGAAGAAGCTGAGGTTCTGAGAATTAAGTGATAATGACCAACAACATGGTTATTGGAGCTGTCTGTTCTTGCAGCACAGGCTGGCCTGCCCAGGCTCTAAGACACAGTGATCTGATGAAAATGCTGCAAGTCTTACCTTTAGTTACTCATCCTCAGCTCCTCTCTCATTACACCCTACTTCCTGTTCTCTGTGAAGTGTGCTGGCGGCTGGGCAGGTCCACTTACCCCTGGAGACCATTCCTATTAGAGTCGAGGGAATCAGTGACACATACACATCTCCTAAGCTCTGGCCGCTGAGAGGGCCTAGAAGCAGGGAGATCGTAATGGCAGTGGGAACACCAGCATTCAGATCTTGGTTTTCAGATACCATTCTCCAACTAAAGAACAAAAGCTCGCAGAGAAGTGTTTGGTTTCAGGGCTGGGAATCACACAGGGAAAATAAAACATGAGCTGAGGGTGTCTTCTCAGATCTAGAAAGTAGAAAAGTGCTCAAAAAGGGACAGGGCATGTTCAAAGGGCACAGGTACCAACCTGAAAGAGCTCTTAAAGTGGACATGGCTGGAGCAATTTGAGCAACAAAATACATAATACATAATGATAGTACTGGATTATAACCTATAGATAAAATAAATAAAAGTACCTGAATAAATACATAGCACAGATACTTCTTTCTTATAGAAGAATTCCAACTAATAAATGTAAGAGGAAAGAGGGAAACAGAAAGTCACCATTAGAACCAAGTCTGAGGAAAAACAGGATATTTATATAGTTTCAAGGTATCATCCTCCAAGACAGTGATTAATTATGGTGGCTCAAATGGTAAAGAATCCGCCTGCAATGCAGAAGACCCAGGGTCAATCCCTGGGTTGGGAAGATCCTTTGGAGAAGGGATCTTCTACCCACTCCAGTACTCTTACCTGGAGAATCTCATGGACAGAGGAGCCTAGTGGGCTACGGTCCATGGAGTCGCAAAGAACTGGACACAACTGAGCGACTAACATGTTCATGTTCAAAGTATATTCCCCCAAGAGTGATTATTTACAAAGGGAAAAATAGTGACTTTACAGAGGAGAGGCCTGGCTGGTACCACCTTAACCATGTGCTCCAGGTTAACCTCACCAGTGGCATGGGTGCTTCCGATGTGAGGGCTGTCACTTTTGTAGGGTTCTTGCCCAAAATGCATAACCTCAATCTAAAATTCATATGGCAAATGGAACCCCCGCCCCACACTTGCTCTTTTCCATTTCAGTTGGTTGCCACTCTGGGTTTGCAGCTGCTCAAGCTAAAAACTGACTCCTCTCTTTTTCTTACACTTGCATGCAATCCATTCAAAAAATATGCTGGCTGTATTCTCTACAGCCCATACACTCAATATTCTATACCCAGGATCTGATCACTTCCTACCTCCTCTGAAAAATACTCTGGACTAAATCACCATCACCTCTAGCTTGACTGTGAAAGTCCTCACGGGAGACCACTCTCAACCCACTGGCTGGTAGGATGCATTCAAGAATGTAAGTTGGACCCTGTCACTCCAGGCTGTTCAAAACCCTCATTTGAATCAGAGTAAAAGTGAATGTCCTCATCACAGTCTATCAGGTGCGACACCACCTGGTCCCTATTACCCCATCACCTCCTTCCCACTGCCCTCCCTGCTCCTTCTGCTCCAGCTGGCCTCCTGCCATCCCTTCCTATGAGACACACTCCTTCCTGGAACCTTGGCTTGCGATGCTTCCTTTGCACAGAATGTTCTTCCTCTAAACACCAGCTTGGCTAACATCCATCCCCCCAACTTCAAGGCATGGTTTAAGTCTCACCCTTTCATGAGAGCTACCCTAATACCCCATGAAAACTGTAATCCCAGGACTTCCCTGGTGGTCCAATGGTTAAGAATCTGCCTCCAATGCAGGGGATGGAAGTGGGTTTGACCCCTGATTGGGGAACTTAGGTCCCACAAGTTGCAGGGCAACAAAGCCCAAGTGCTGCAACTAGAGAGCCTGTAAGCTGCAACTACTGAGGCTGCGCCACAACTAGAAAAAGCCCCCATGCTGCAATGAGAACTCAATGCGGCCAAAAAACCACTGTAATCCACCCATATTCTCCCAACCTTGTCTACTTAGCACTTAACACACCCTATTATTTATTTATGTATTAGACTTACTGTCTTGTCCTCCCTGCTAGATGGATCTCATTGATGCATCCCAAGCACCAAGAACAATAACTAGCACAGGGAATGCTGAATAAATATCTGTTTAGTAAATGAATGAATTCCAGGCCCCATGAATCTGGGATAGACAAATGGCAGGAAACAGGTCAAGTTTGTTGTTTAAAATCAAGGGACTACCATCTTTACTACAGGGGAAAACCCTGAAGAGAGGCCTGGACAGAACCTGAGGGCTACAGGAGCCACTTCTGAGCTTTCAGTAAGCCCATGTGGGTCACCCGGCCCTAGGAGGCAAAGCCTCTCCTCTGGGCACGTAAAGGCCGAATGCCCCCTCCCCCAGGGTCAGGAGAACATGCTGGTGTCGGGAGGGCAGTACGCTGAAACACTGACACCAGGGCTGTGTCCCGTGCTTGTGTACATTACCTCATTCAACCTCCCCAGCTACACAGCTGAAGTTTCCATGATCTCCTCTCTATGGATGAAGAAACCAAGGCTCTGAGCAGTTGAGGCACTAGCTTGAGACATACACTAATGAGTGTGGAGCTCAGGTTCCAGCCAGGTCAGGGAAATGGGGGTACCCATGCCTGTTTGCCTTAGTTCTCCTGAGGGCCCTCAGCAATTGGAGATCTACCCACGAAGCTGTCCCCCCTACTCAGGACAGCCCTGTGCCCAGGTCCTAGCCCTGCAGCCTTCTCTGCTGGCTTCTCACCAAAGCCCCACCTGGATATGATGACGAGACAGGCGGAGAATCTCCCGGGCCATCAGCAAAGTCTTTGAGTCCATCACCAGGTACAGGAGATGCAGGAGGGCAAGGAAGCCTGCTCCTCTGAGGTCTGTGGCTGGATTTGTTCCTAAGGCAGAAACCAAGAGAAAACTGAGGGAGTTTAATGAAACCCTTGGACAGCAAGGAGATCAAACAAGACAATCCTAAAGGAAATCAACCCTGAATATTCGTTGGAAGGACTGATGCTGAAGCTGAAGTTCCAGTATTTTGGCCACCTGATGCAAAGAGTCACCTCAACAGAAAAGACCCTGATGTTGGTAAAGACTGAAGATAAAAGGAGAACTCTGGGATGACAGAGGATAAGATGGTTGGATGGCATCATTGACTCAATGGACATGAACTTGGGCAAACCTGGGAGATAGTGAAGGACAGGGAAGCCTGGTGTGCTACAGGCTTTGTGTCCCAAAGACTTGGACACAACTCAGTGACTGAACAACAATAAAATCCCTGCTCCCTGAGTCAATGACCTTGATCACGGCCCAGGTGGTGAATCTAGACTTCCTCTGACTGACTGCAATGAGGTGGCCCTCAGCTCTGCCAGGGCAGTCAGAGATGCAGGGAAGGGGCTTTTATCCTTCCCTGGTGCTAAGGAGCCCACCAGTCTCTATGGGATGTCAGGGGAGGTGACATGCGAACAGCAATGAGGCACCCCTGCCCCTCCCAGCCAGTGGTATTAGTGGAGGCTCAGTGGGATACTTGGATTTCTATCCCCACCTGGCAATAATGAGGTGACATCACCTTTCCCCCCACTGCCCAGTGTCACAGGAGGCCTGCTACAATAGAAGATTTAAAGAAGATTCACAGTGTCATTATATACTACCCCAAATGTCTAGACAAAATTAAAAAATCACTTATTACACCAAGAACTAGGAAAATCTCAACTTGAATGACAAAAGACAATTAATAGCAACATTGCTGGGGGAAGGATGAGGGAAGGATAGAGTTTGGGATGGTCATGTACACACTGCTATATTTAAAATGGATAACCAACCAGGACTTACTGTATATTACAGGGAACTCTGCTCAATGTTATATGGCAGCCTGGATGGGAGGGGAGTTTGGGGGAGAATGGATACGTGTATATGTATGGCTAAGTCCCTTTGCTGTTCTTCTGAAACTATCACAACATTGTTAATTGGCTATACCCCAATACAAAATAAAAGGCTTGCACAGCAAGGGGGAATCAAGATTACAGTCAGAATGAAGGCTGCCAATCAGGATAGGGAGACTACCCTCGCTATTTGGCTGGGCCCAATGTAGTCAGTCATGTCCAACTCTTTAGGACTCCATGGACTATACAGTCCATGGAATTTTCCAGGCCAGAATACTGGGGTGGGTATCTATTCCCTTCTCCAGGGGATCTTCCCAAAGCCTGTGATCAATTCCAGGTCTCCCACATTGCGGATGGATTCTTTACCAGCTGAGCCACCAGGGAAGCCCAAGAATACAGGAGTGGGATGCCTATCCCTTCTCCAGTGGATCTTCCCAACCCAGGAGTCGAATGGGGTCTCCTACATTGCAGGCAGATTCTTGACCAGCTGAGCTACCAGGGAGGCTAGTAAAGTAATGCTCAAAATTCTCCAAGCCAGGCTTCAGCAATACGCGAACCATGAACTTCCAGACGTTCAAACTGTTTTAGAAAAGGCAGAGGAACCAGAGTTCAAATTGCCAACATCCACTGGATCATCGAAAAAGCAAGAGAGTTCCAGAAAAACATCTATTTCTGCTTTGTTGACTATGCCAAAGCCTTTGACTGTGTGGATCACAATAAACTGTGGAAAATTCTGACAGTGATGGGAATACCAGATCACCTGACCTGCCTCTTGAGAAAACTGTATCAGGGTCAGGAAGCAACAGTTAGAACTGGACATGGAACAACAGACTGGTTCCAAATAGGAAAAGGAGTATGTCAAGGCTATATATCATCACCCTGCTTATTTAACTTATATGCAGAGTACATCATGACAAATGCTGGGCTGGAAGAAGCACAAGTTGGAATCAAGACTGCTGGGAGAAATATCAATAACCTCAGATATACAGATGACACCACCCTTATGACAGAAAGTGAAGAAGAACTGAAGAGCTTCTTGATGAACATGAAAGAGGAGAGTGGAAAAGTTGGTTTAAAGCTCAACATTCAGAAAACTAAGATCATGGCATCCCATGGTCCCATCACTTCATGGGAAATAGATGGGGAAAGAGTGGAAACAGTGGCTGACTTTATTTTTCTGGGCTCCAAAATCACAGCAGATGGTGATTGCAACCATGAAATTAAAAGACGCTTACTCCTTGGAAGGAAAGTTATGACCAACCTAGACAGCATATTAAAAAGCAGAGACATTACTTTGTCAAAAAAGGTCCACCTAGTCAAGGTTATGGTTTTTCCAATGGTCATGTATGGATGTGAGAATTGGACTATAAAGAAAGCTGAGCACTGAAGAATTGATGCTTTTGAACTGTGGTGTTGGAGAAGACTCTTGAGAGTCCCTTGGGCTGCAAGGAGATCCAACCAGTCCATCCTAAAGGAGATCAGTTCTGGGTGTTCATTGGAAGGACTGATGTCAAGCTGAAACTCCAATACTTTGGCTACCTGATGCGAAGGGCTGACTCATTTGAAAAGACCCTGATGCTGGGAAAGATTGAGGGCAGGAGGAGAAGGGGACAACAAAGGATGAGATGGTTGGCTGGCATCATCCACTCAATGCATATGAGTTTGGGTAAATTCCAGGAGTTGGTGATGGACAGGGAGGCCTGGTGTGCTGTGGTTCATGGGGTCTCAGAGAGTCGGACACAACTGAATGACTGAACTGAACTGAATGTGGTCAGAAGAACCCCTAAACGTGTGGCAGGGAGGTATAAACACAGCATCTTCTGAAAGAGGGATGTGAGGACAGATTCAGCTCTGAGAGATGCTGTGTTCCTGGCTTTGAAGGAGGAGGAATATGGGAGGCCTCTAGAAGGTGGAAAAAGCAAGGAAATAGATTTTCTCCTGGAGAGTCTAAAAACGAATACAGCCCTGTGGTGACCTTGATCTTGCCTCAGAGAGAATGCGTCAGACTTCTCAACTACAGAACTAGAAGGTGGTAAATCTGTGGGTCTTTTTCCTTTTGGGGATGTACTGCGCAACATGTGGGATCTGAGATTCCCACTCAGGATTCGAATCTGTGGCCCCTGTGTTGGAAGCACAGAGCCTTAACTGCTGAGCTGCCAGGGAAGTCCCCCATATTGTATTAAGCCACTAAATTTGTGGTAATTTTCTGCAACAACAATAGAAACCTACAAATGCCTTTGATAAAGGTCTCAGTAAAGAAATATCAGATGTAAAGAACAAAACAGAAACTTTAGGACTGAAAAATATAATAACTAAAATTAAAAACTCACTGGGAGTTGCTCAGCTCTCGCCTCAGGTCTAGGCTCTGGCCCTCATCGCTACCCGCACCCACGCTCACCCCCTTACCGGATCATGGCCCACGCGGAGCGCATCTTTACTGCTATCAAGCCCGACGGCATGCAGCGCGGCCTGGTGGGCGAGATCATCAAGTGCTTCGAACAGAAGGGATTCTGCCTTGTGGCCATGAAGTTCCTTCAGACCTCTGAGGACCTCCTGAAGCAGCACTACATTGACCTGAAAGTACGCCCATTCTTTCCATGGCTGGTGAAGTACATGAACTCAGGGCCAGTTGTGGCCATGGTTTGGGAGGGCCTGAATGTAGTGAAGACAGAACGAGTGATGCTTGGGGAGACCAACCCAGCAGATTCTAAGCCAGGCACCATTTATGGTGACTTCTGCATTCAAGTTGGCAGGAACATCATTCATGGCAGTGATTCAGTAAAAAGTGCTGAGAAAGAAATCAGCTTGTGGTTTAAGCCTGAAGAACTGATTGAATACAAGTCTTGTGCTGTTGACTGGATATATGAATAGGAGATGGTCAGAGCATCAGTCCCTTCAGGCACCACTTCCTGTGTTCCTGGGCACAGCTCTTCATTCCACTGATATGGAAGCAGCAGGATGGATGTTTCTTTTCTAAAGCATATTTACCAATAAAGCCTTTAAAAATTGAAAAAAAAACAAACAAACCAAAAACTTCACTGTGTGGGCTCAACAGCTAAATAGAGACAACAGAGGAAAGAACCAGTGAACTTGAAGATGGAACAATATAAACAGCCCACTCTGAACAACAGAGAGAAAAAACAAAACAGAATGAGCAGAGCCTTGGAGACCTCGGGCTATACAGACATCCCCTTAAAACAAACAGAGCCTCTGGGCCTAAGAGGAACAGTAACAGAAGATCTAGCATACGTGTGGTTAGAATTATACAAGACAGAAGAAAGAGAAGGAATGAAAAAAGTACTCAAAGTAATAATGGCTGATAATTTACCAAATTTGCCAAAAGACATAAACCTACAGATTCAAGAAATTGAGCAAAACCCTAATAGGATAAACCCAAAGAAATCTCCACTAACACATATCATAGTCAAACTCCTACAAACAAAAGAAAAAAGTAAGCAAAAAAGACCCTGAAAGTAGAGACAGAAACCACTCCTCATCTACCAAGAAGCAATAATTCAAGCGCCAGCAGAATTCTCATCAGAAACTATGGAAGCCAAAAGGAAGCAGCCTATTTATTTTCAAGGGATGAAAGAAAAGATCTGTCAACCTGGAATTCTACATTCATAGAAATTATCCTTCAGGAGTAAAGGGCAAATCGAGACATTTGATGACATTAGATGAAGGAAAGCTAAGAGGATTTATGCTGGCTGACCTACTTTAGAAAATGGCTAAAGGAAGTTCCTGAAACAGAAGGGAAGTGAAACAAGAAGGAATCTTAGAAGATCAGAAAGGAAGAAATAATAAGGGATAGAGTAAACATATGGGTAAATACAACAGAATTTCCTTCTCCTCTTGAGTTATTTAAATTAATGGTTGAAAGAAAAATCATAACACTGATGTGATTCTCCATGTACAAGTCAATTATATTATAGACGAGGGAGGGTAAAGGGACTTAAACACACCATCAATACCAACAGAGCACCAATAAATTTTGAGCATAAAAGTTTCCTTTTCAAATCAAGATCTTTTCCTGTTTTACACAAATGTAATTTTATATATGGTTTAGAAAAAAGATGGACAATTGAAAAACAGGTGAAATAATTTCATTTCACTCAAAAAGTGAAATAATGTAAAACACAATTATCATCAACACTAAAAGAAAAGAACAAAAAGAAAACACTACAGGACTTCCCTGGGGGTCCAGTGGCTAAGACTCCAAGTTCCCAGTGGAGGGGGCCTGGCTTGGAACCCTGGTCAGACACAAGATTCCACATACCACAGCTAAAAGTTCCTGTGTGCTGCAAGGAAGAATGAAGATTCCACGTGCTGTAGCTAAGAACCTGAGCAACCAAATTAATTAATTAATTAAAAAAAACCAACAACACTGGATCCTAAATCATATAACTCCCATGCTTTCCATTCCACTTAGAGTAAATGTTTTACACTGGCCTGCAAGGCCCTGAGTGAACTATTCTTGTCCACTTCAGCCACTGCTACTTCTCAGAAGGCCTCAGGGCCTTTGCGTTTGCTGTCCCCTCTTCCTGGAATGCTCTGCCCCAGATATTCTGTCTAATGGTGCTGGCATAACAGGAAGAGGACTATCTGGGTTCTCACGCTAGTCTTGGAATAAGGAGTCAGGGAGAAGATGAACTGTTTCTCTCTCTTACCCTGAAAGCCCAGATCTTCCCAGTGGTCTCCATGGAGGGCACAGTCAAACTTGGAGCCAGTCAGCTTCTTATAGATGGTCTGGAGGACTCGGCCATGCATGGGATCTTGGCTATCCAGGCCACCTGCCCCAAAACACAAACATGCTCTGCTGGATTGGCCCTCAGGGGAGGACAGAGTGCTTCCCAGAGAACGTAGAAGCCAAGACAGACCCAGCCTGGACGCCCACACCCGGCCCTCCCCAAAACGTGGTTAATGCAAGAGCCTCGGTTTAGTCTCAGTCACAGGATGGACAAACCGTTCTCTCTGTCTGACCGCTCATGCAGCACCTGCCTTATGGCCATGCACTCACACTGAGCGATGGTCAAGACCAAGTCCCTTTCTTCACGGAGGCCCTGGTGGAGCTTCGGAGGCCCGAAGAGGCAGTGCCGGAGGGCAGCGAGCCCAGTCCTTCGGATGGTGGGCTGGATTCTTTTCTGGGGAGAAAGGTACAAGAGTGGGCAGTGCTGAGTTCATTTGCTCTCGTGAACTTACCAGGAGGCTCAGTATAGGACTGGTCTTACAGAAACAAATGGTTCCCAACTAACTGGCTGGCCTCTGAGCCAGGGAAACAGGGCAGAAGCTATGAAGCATCTGCTATTAATAAATCTCCAGGGGACTTCCCTGGCAGTCCAGTGGTTAGAACTTCACCTTCCATTGCAGGGGGTGTGGGTCCTGGTTGGGGTGTTTGATCCCTAATTGGAGAGCTAAGATCCTACATGCCTCTAAGCCAAAAAACTGAAACATAAAACAGAAGCAATATTGTAACAAATTCAATAAAGATTAAAAAAAATAAAAATAAAAAAATAAATCTCCAGGGACAGGTTCTTCCAGCTCTCAGGTTCTTTGTAAGCAGTGAAAGAGATGTCCCTAAGCCCAGATCTAATCAGCCTCTATTTAGCCTGTATCAGCCTATATCAGTCTGTATTTAGCCTCTGGGCTTTTCCAGAAATGGCTCTGTCACTGACTTCCAAAGAAGCTAGAGGGCATTGGCTATGGGGACTGGCATCTGATAGACAGACAGACAGACAGACGCCAGGACGAGTCTCCCAGCAGGGCTGCTTCCATCCTTTGTATGTCTGTGTTTGTCTCTCTCTGTAAAAGACACATAGTCTAACGGCCCTCTCAACTTCCAGGATAAGATAGTTGGTGAGAAGGGGAGTCTAGGGCACTTTCTTGGAGCTGGATATCCCTGAGGGGTAGCTGGCGCCTTCTGGCTACACCAGCTTCTGCTGACGCCTCTGTGTTCAGAGCCACTGCTGCAGGGCTTAGGATACTCTGATTTCAGCAGCTTCTGGCTCTCTGGGATCAGTCTGATTCCTATCTTCAGCCTCTCTCCTCGAGCCAGGCTTTAGGTTGAACATTTGAATTCACAGTCCTCTAAACTTACTACTAGGCACTCAAGATGTCTGCCAGCTTTTCATTTCCTTAGCACTCTTTTTCCAACCCCACATATTTTTTAAATTCCCAAAGAACTTCTAGTTCCTCTAGGATATGGAAAATTTTCCTGTATTGGCCATGAATCACTCAGCTCTCTGCAGGCCACCCTGCTTCCTCGAGGGACTTCTAGCATCTGATTCCAGACCCCCCCATCCCTAGGACGGGAGAGTGGGGAGCAGCTCCACGGACCCCCATAAGACAGGACCACTAGAGCTCTGGAGACACAGTTCCTGAGATCGCACGACACGTGCGACACGTGCACGACACTTGTGATCCTGTACCCTCAGACTTCTCAGTTGGGACAGAGCCCTCGACTGGAAGCTTCCCTCTTGCCTACCCAGTGCCCTGTCCTGAGCTTAGTCGCTCAGTCGTGTCCAACTCTTTGCTAGGCTCCCCTGTCCATGTGGATTCTCCAGCCAAGGATGCTAGAGTGGGTTGCCATGCCCTTCTCCAGGGGATCTTCCCGTGGCCTATCCTGATGGGGTAGAAACCTGGCTTCAGGCAAGAAAGCACTTTGCTCAAGACCCAATCACCCCACCCCCCGTGGTGTCATACCTTGAAGGAGGAGAGGTCCACTGTCTGGAAATGCTGCAGGGCCTCACTGAAGGAGATGAGCTGCCCAGGCTGGTCCATGCTGGCCCGGCTCCCTGTGGCAAAAGGGAAGACACTCCAGGACTTGTGACTCTATCAGCAAACATGTACCAAGGGCCTTCTGGTTGTCACCTCTAAGCCCACACAGGCTTCCAGCTGTCAGTGTCAGACACCTACAGCAACAACCAACCCGCTGTCAGGGGGCTGGTGTTGTTCACAGGGCGGACTCCCTTTTAGAGCTGGCTGGGTGGAGGTGGGCCAGGCCGAGCCCTGCAGAGCCGGGCTGATCTGTAGGAGCCCCTAAGTTCACTCATCCCTGAGTGGGGTGTGTCACTGCCTGGAGGAGCTACCCACACAGATGCATGCGACAGGTCTGTCTAGGGGCCTTTCCTGGTTTCTACTTCACCCCTTCTCATGCCCTGGAGTTGAATGATCTCTCCTCCAGCCTTTGTTCCAGGGAATTAACTCATCAACCAGCAATTCAGGTGATGGCTGATACAGCCCCTGTAACATCTTGGCAGGTGCTCAAGTGGGGTTCAGGTTAGATTTAGGTCTCAGTCCTCCCCTCCCACAGCTCCATCCAAACCTCCCAAAAGGAACGATACACAGTTCTGACATAGCCCTCAGAGCCTTTCAGCATATGGCCTCAACCTCCATCTCCAGAGATTTCCTTGTACAGTGAACAACCTGCTCAACCTGATGCAGGGGTCCTGGCTGCCCACCTCCATCCTCTGCCCGACCTCATCACCCTGCAGAAGCTGACCCTGACCATGGTCCTCCTCGTCCTCTCTCAGACCCTGTGGCATTCATCTCCCTTTCCTCCAGAGGTTGGAGGGCATCACCTTTGAATTGGGAAAAGAGGTTTCATTCTATGTCACAAATCAAAAATGAGAACACTCGGGAATTCTGTCTCCTAATCCCAAACAGAGCATCAGCCTCGTGGGTGGACAGTGCCTTTAGCAGCAGCGGGCTGTGTGGAGAGGGTGCCATTCCTCTACTTACCTGTCTCCAGGTGGATGCTGTCCACAGCTTCCCATTCTTCTTGGGCTTGGAGGACTTCTGTACTCACAACTGCAATAGTGAGACAAGGACACACCCTGAGATCTAGGTATGTCTGGATCACTGTCATAGTTCCTGGCTTTATCTGCTTGTCTTGCCAGACAGTTGCCAAAGTGAGCTTTCAAAAAGGCCAGACCTGATGCCAGCCCACTGCACGGAACCCTCTATGGATTCTTTGTAATTCTCACAATGAAACCCCAACCCACCTTCAGCTCCAGCCCCTCCTGGCGCAGCTCCATCTCAGCCTGCAGCTAACTCCAGCACCACCCTCCCCTGGCACCTTCTTTAGCCTCTGGAATCTGCTTTTAGGAGCAGCACCATGAGAGTCCCCGACACTCCCTTCTTGTCACAGTGTTGTAACTGTCCTGCCTGCTGCACTGGGAGCTACAGGAGGGCAGGGTTCTTGGGGTTCAATGGGTGCACCATGAATGTTTCTGTTGCTGTTTTTGTTTGTTTTTGGCCACGCCACCTGGCATGCGGGATCTTAGTTTCCCAAGTACCTGGGATCAAACCTGTGCCCCTTGCAGTGGAAGCATGGAGTCCTAACCACTGGACCACCAGGGAAGTCCTCATAATGAATGTCTGATGAATGAATGAAAAGCACAATGAAAGGAGGGGGGACAGAAGAAAAAAACAGCAGCAGGACAGGCTCTCTATAATCACTGCACAGCCCTTTACTAAAGAGGACACAGGCAAACAGTGGGGAGGATGGGGAGGCTTTTGTTCAAACCAAACTGGTGAGCCTTCCAGCCTGAATAGTGTAAGCAAGTTAGGACAGCTCCCCTCTGCCTTGCAACCAGGGCTGAGGACTTTCTGTGACAGTGGACTGTTTTGGAAGTACACTTGCAAAAGGGCTTCCCCAGTGGCTCAGACGGCAAAGAATCTACCTGCAGTGCAGGAGATCTGGGTTTGATCCCTGGGTTGGGAAGATGCCCTGAAGAAGGGAATGGCTACCTACTCCAGTGTTCTTGCCTGGAGAATGCTATGGATAGAGGAATCTGGTGGGCTACAGTGCATGGGGTGTAGAGTCAGACATGACTGAGCGACTAATACACACTTGCAAAATTAAAGAAAAACCTACCCCAAACTCAAAACACTAATGGATAATGAGGATGAGGAGGCTGCTGGGGAGCAGGAGGGGACCACAGTGAAAGCACCCTGTAGAGCCAAATGGCTTGTGAACTTTTTAGCTCCCTCACGAGCTGTGCTTCTTCAGGCAAGTTACTCAACCATCTGTAATCATTCTTGAGATTACTATGAGAACAGAGTCTAGGGGAACATGCGGCCCAAGGTCACTTGCTCAATACACCTCAGCTAGCATGGCCGACCCAGTTGTGGACTCAGGTCTAGCAGGATTGTAGATGTTGGTAGCAGATGAGATGGATCTGGACTCTAGGACATTCAATCTTGCCAGTCCTTGCCCAGGGTAGCAGATGGTACAACAGGGCTTCCAAACTAGGTAACTTCAACAGAACACAGGATATTCGACCTGGGACAATGAGGAAAATAAAGACTTACGTCCAGCACGCTGGACCCTTGGGAGGTAAGCTACAAGGACAAAGGGGTTGAACAAGAAGAGTGGAATGGCAGCCATGGAAGTTTATCAGGATGATAAGAGCTCCCCCACCCTTCACCCCTCATCTACATCCAGCCTCACTGACTTGTTAACCTTCAGATCATCACAATGCAATTAATCTTTTACCCCATTCATCCTTGCCTATAAACAGGTTGGTCAAAGGTTGTGAACCAGGAGTAGGAACCTCATGGGCAAGGGTGTAGGAGTTTACTGTGACAGCAATGCAATTAAGAGGAAGCACATGGTCTCAAGGGGTAACTTCAATCTGGTGCCCGAACTAGAGACAAACACCCAACCCATGTAAGAGCATATTGCTCCTTTCCCAGTTCCTTTAGGACTCAGGGAGACGACTCCCACCTCTGCACACAATCCTGACGTAAATACTGTTTTCCCCACACGAACAGAAAAGCGTGGAGCCAAAACCCAAATCTCCAGGAAGACAAAACCAGTTCACGTTAGTATGGCTCTTTATCATTTTTCCTTTTGTCAGTTACCTCCTTTACTTAAGCCCTTTTCTCTTTATTCACATAGTAAACGGCACTGCTGATTTACTCAGCCTATTAATTTAAATTAGCTGAGTGCAGTCTGGAAAAAAAATGTAATTGTTCAAACGCGTACGTGCGCGTGCTCAGTCATGTCCAACTCTTTGTGACCTCAAGGACTGTAGCCTGCCAGGGTCCTCTGTCCATGGAACTTTCCAGGAAAGAAAACTGGAGTGGGTTGCCATTTCCTTCTCCAGGGGATCTTTCTGACTCAGGGATTGAACCTCAGTATCCCCAGTCTCCTGCACTGACGGGCGGATTCTTTACCACTTTACCACCTGGGAAGTCCAGTGTAATTGTTCAGTATGATCAAAAATATCTGGGACATAACTGCCAGTTGTACTGAAACAGAAGATATTTTGGCATTTAAGGCAACATCTCTAATCAACGTTAGGTTTGTCCACATGTGGTAAAGACAAAATTCAATTAAAAGAAACTTTACAGGGACTTCCCTGCCCATCATAGTGATTGAGACTTTGTATTCCAACACAAAGGGTATGGGTTGGATCCCTGGTTGGGGAGCCAAGATTCCACATGTCTGAAGGCCAAAAAAATCAAAAACATAAAACAGAAGCAATGTTGTAACAAATTTAATATCCATATGGTAGGGCAGGGGAGGGAGGTTCAAAAGGGAGGGGATATATGTATACTTGTGACTGATTCATGTTGTTTGTGGCAGAAACCAACACAACACTATAAAGTAATAATTCTCCAATTAAAAATAAAATTTAAAAAATGGTTCTCTTTAAAAAAAGAAACTTCTGAGACCTTCAAATAATTTTTCTACACTTGAACTTTTTAATAGACTCCCATATTCTTGGAGACTACACATTCAGTTTGCAAGGTTTTAAGATAACAAAATACACCAATGAGTGCTTGCTATGATTCTGTGTGCTAAGCACTTTCCATTATCTTGTTTAATCCTTATAAAATTTATATCATACAGGTTCTGATATAACCCCAGTTTTACAGATAAGTAAAGTGAGGGTTAGAAAGATTAAGTCCCCCTCCCACCAAAAAAAAAAAAAAAGAAAGAAGATTAATTCCCTTGCTCTGGGTCATGGAGCTGGTGGGTGAAAGAGTCAAGACTTAAGCCAGAGACATCTGACTCCAGAAGTGGTCCTCCTGAATTGGTGGAGTATGCTTTCTCGTACAGTATATTAGCAGGCAGAGTGAGCTTTAAACAGAGTATGGGAAGCGCCATGTCAAGCAGGTAAAACAAGATTAACTTTTCAAAGCCTTTATATCTACTCTGTATCATTTCAGTATCACAACATCCTTTAGAGCACAGAGAAGATATTTATATCTCCACTGTAGACAAAGAGATAGTATGATTTTCCCAAAAGGCAAATAAGCCACTAGCAGGGCTTTGGGGACCAAGTCAGAACTCAGGTCTCTCAGGACTTCCCTGGCAGTCCAGTGGTTAAGACTTCGCCTTCCAAAGCAGAAGATGTGTGTGGGTTTTATCCTTGGTCAGGGAGCTAAGATCCCACATGTATTGCAGCTAGAAAACCAAAACATGTGACAGAAGCAATGCTGTAACACATTCAATAAGAGACTTTAAAAAATGATCCACATCAAAAAAAAACCCTTAAAAATAAAGAATGAACTCAGGTCTCTTGACTGAGAGACACCTAATCCAGTGTCAGTTCTAATTTCCCTTGAAGAAGGATAAATCTATAAAATTCTATAGGAAAAGTAGTGAGAGAAATTCAAGGGAAGAAATTCAAGGGAGGAAAGGAAAGACCCACGTGCTCTGCCTTGAGTCCCACCCAGGCTCTGCGGGCCCCGAAGGGGACCTTACCACCGGGCTCCCAGCCGTTCGCCTCTGCTGTCAGGGCCTGGAGGACGCTGTGGTTCTTCAGCTCTGAGATCTGTAGGGGCAGGTGACCTTTAGTGTGAGGGTGGGAGTCCACGTCCTCCTATCCACACACACACATGCTGCCCACTGTACCAAATGTTCTTGAAACTGGAGGCCATTAGAATCTGTCTTCCCAGATGCGTTGGTTAAAGCCAATCTTAATGAGTCCATGCTTAGTCGCTCAGTTGTGTCCGACTCTTTGAGACCCCACAGACTGTAGCCTGCCAGGCTCCTCTGTCTGTGGAATTTTCCAGGCAAGAATACTGGAGTGGGTTGCTGTTTCCTCTTTCAAGGGATCTTCCCTACCCAGGGATTTAACCCATGTCTCCTGCATTGAAAGGTGGGTTCTTTACCACTGAGCCACTAGGGAAGCCCAATCTTAATGAGAGGTACCTGGAAAATATCAACTATGAAGTAGAAGTTGGGGATATGGGGACAGTATATGCCCTCCTTGAAGAGTAAATGGATAAACATCTACTCAACTGAGACAGTGGTGAGCTGTTGATATCCCCACTGCACTTTATATTCTGCTTCGTTACAACAATTTTCTGATTAGGCAGAGATTGCTTTGCATGTCTATTCCCACTACTACCCCCAAAGTATGTACTATTGGAGGGCAAGGTCTGTGCCATCCTATGTCCCGGCACCTGGCACCACATAGCGGCATGATACACGAATGTCTACTGATGAGACACTGGGCTGTGGGCAGTACGTACAGAAACTCCTCTGAAAGCCAGAACAGCACTGCCGTCCTTGTCAGGTGGTGGAGCGCACCCAGCAGACACACTTCCAACCTGCAAGGCAAACGAGAGTCAGTCTCTCAGAACACATATCAGTCCCCCAGAGATGAAAGCTTGAACAGCACACCCTTTTCCTTAACACACACACACACACAATGCATTAACCCTGGAGAAGTCAACTACAGGTAATACTGTGCAGACAACTCCTGTTTAACCTGGTCTGCAAAAAGCTTAATGTTAACATAATCTCATACAGATTTCATGGCCCTGTTCAAAGTCTCAGGGCTCTGAGTAAGTAAAGTTGAGTGAGGCGGTTTCCTCATGTTCTGCTCAGCCAAATCTTTCTGCTGCTGGAGCTTAAAAACTACTCAACAAACCTTTTGAAACTCATATCAAAACACATGGCTGATTTTCCTGTCTTTGGTGTTAAGTTGCTAAGTTGTGTCTGACTCTTCCCAACTCCAGGGACTGTAGCCCACTAGGCTCCTCTGTCCATGGGAATTCCCAGGCAAGAATACTGGAGTGGGTTGCTATTACCTTCTCCAGGGGATCTTCCCAACCCAGGGATCAAACCCAGGTCTCCCACATTGTAGGCAAATTCTTTACTACTGAGCCACCTGGGAAGCCCTAATGCTCTTAATGTTAAAAAAATAAAATAAAATCCTACAAGTCAGTAAGAGAGAAAAAAAAAAAAAAAGAAACCAGCAGAAAAATGGGCATGGATGTAGATGGTCTGCATAAAACAAAACACAAACAGTTCTTAAACATGTGAAGAAACACTCAACCTTACTCATAACAAGAGAAATGTCAACTAAAACCAACTAACACTACCCTTGAAATAACATTTTTCACTTACCTTGTTAGCAAAGATCAAAAAGTATGGTAACACTGTGCTGGCTAGAGGACCAAGAGCTATAAGACACTGGAGAGTGAACTGTTACCACCTCTCCAGGTTGATAATATCTGACACAATCAAGTATGCTGTGTCTATTTGGGGCCTGCAACTGCCTTTGAGGAATTTATCTAATATATATACTCATACATGTGCAAAATGCCATGCTTACAGTGTTATTCATGGCTTTGTTTGTTTTTGTTTGTTTTGGCTACACTGGGTCTTTGTTGCCATGCCATTTCTAGCTGTGGTTCGAGGGCTTCTCACTGCGGTGGCTTCTCTTGTGGAGCATGAGCTGTAGGGCACATGGGGTCAGCTGCCCTGGTGGCATGTAGGATCTTCCTGGACCAGGGATCAAACGCACGTCCCCTGCATTGGCAGGCAGATTCTTAACCACTAGACCATGAAAGAAATCCATGGTAGCACTGTTTATAAAAGCAAAAGGCTACAAAAACTCTGAATGTCCACTGATGGACTTCTTATTTTACTTTATTTATAACCGCTCCCCCCCAACCCCGCCCCACCATTTCACCGAGATGTATTGACATACATCACTGTATAAGATGCAAGGTGCACAGCATAATGATTGGATTTATATAGATTATGAAACGATCACCAGGATAGGTTTAGTGATCATCCATCATCATCTCTTGATACTACATCAACAAACAAAAAAATTTTTTTCCTTGTGATGAGAACTCTTAGGACTTATTCTCTTAACTTTCATTCTAACATACAGCGGTGTTACCTTTATCATGTTGTACATTATATTCCTAGTATTTATTTATCTTCTAACTGGAGGTTTGCACCTTTTCACTATCTAATCCCCCTTCCCCTATCTCTGGTAGCCACAAATCTAATCTATTTTTCTACGAGTTTGTTTTTGAGTTATAATTCACTTACAACATGATATTAGTTCCTAGTGCACAACACAGTGATTTGATATTTCTATACATTTCAAAATGATCATCATGATAAATCAAGTTGTCACCAGTGAACTAATCTTAAATAAATCAAAGCATATCTGCTTAATGAGATCCTATACAGTCATTAAAAAAAAAGAGTAAGAAAGTACTTTATAAATGATTTGGAACAGTCTTCATGATATTAATATATTAAGTGAAAAAGCAAAGGTCAGAGTATACTTTACCATTGGATTTTAAAAAAAAAACAAAAAACACACATAAATATATTTGCTTGTCTTTACAGAGGCTATTTCCAGAATTACAGTCTTCAAGGAAGTACTAACTTTGCCTCAGCAGGAAAACAGGGTGGCTGGGGAACAAGAGTGGAAGATAGTTTTTTCACTATATGTACATCCTCCATACTTTTGGATTTTGAACCTTGTGCAGTATTATTTTCTCTAAGGCAGATAAAAGAAAAATAATGATAATTAAGGGAAAATAACTAATAAAGGTATCATTGCTATGTCAAGGCCCTGGAATCCCAGACTGTCCTGTTACTCTAATCCTGCTTTACATATTTTTGCCAACTAACACTCCTTAGACACGACTTTGAGTTTTTCACTTCTTTTTGCCTTCATTTTTGCCAGAAGAATGAACCCATAAACACACCACGGCACAGCTACTCCTCCACAACTGGCCTCCTGATGTCTAAGCACCATTACTGTCCACTTAGCTAAAGTGAACACACTTGCTGCAGTTCCTCTCACCTCCAGCCCTTGGGTCATGTGGTCTTGCCCCCACCTCCACCTTCTCAGTGTTTTCTGGGCCCTTCAAGATCAGTTCCATCTCCTCAGGGTAGCTGAGCTGCAATGGTTTCCTGCAGTTACAATGGTTTCCTCACATCTCTAAGTCCCATAGCCCCTCTGTATGTGGCACAAGGTCCTCTGCAAAAGACCTGTCTCCCCAGTCAGACTCTTCTGGTATATTTTTTTTATATTTCTCAGACCATCTGCACAGCACTAGGCTTAAGATGGGCTTCTCTGGTGGCTCAGACGGTAAAGAATCCGCCTGCAATGCAGGTGACCCGGATTCGATCCCTCGGTCAGGAAGATCCCCTGGAGAAGGGGATGGCTACCTACTCCAGTATTCTTGCCTGGGAAATTCTATGGACAGAGGAGCCTGGCGGACTACAGTCCATGGGGTCACAGAGAGTCAGACATGCTCACAGGCTCAAGATACATTCTCAATAATATCTGGTGATTCACCATGCTGCACAACTCCCTTGAGGAGACTGTGTGCTCAGGACTCATTGCATCTTTCTCTTCCTCTAGTGCCCAAAGATAAATGCTCTCTGGAAGAACAGTTCACCTGTCTTAGGAAGTGAAGAAAACCTCCCTGGACTCCCAAAGCACAGGCTTTGTCCCCATTCTGCCCACTGAACCCCAAAGGCTCCATTTAAGACCATTTCTGGGCAAGGTAGGGAGAAAGATGGGGAATACAGGGTAAGCTGCCAGGCTCACACAGAGACATAACACATGGAACCAGGAATCCTGAGGATAAACAGGTCAAAATGGGCGTTTGAGAGAGAAAGGGCCAGTACACAACCCAAACTGATTGAAATACATATTTCCTGGGAGATTCTAATTGAAACTTTCCTCCCACCCAAGCAAATCCAAACCCAAATCCTATAACCTACTCTGAAAGCAAGCCGTCAGGAAAGGCAATTGACCCAGAAGTGACTAGAACTTCTTCTAAAAGAACAAGAGAACTGTAAACAGAATTTTTCCTACACATTTCTAAAGGTCCACACCCTCTTGATATATGTTCTCTCTTATTATTATTAACAATACATCCCATACCAACACCTTCTTTCCCAAACAGATATACTTGCTTACCTGTCCATCTCTTAATTCTTTCTCGTGGAAAGAGTGAGAGTTTTCATTCATGACTCAAACTCATTTGTTCAAGTGACTTTTGTCCTTGGGCTCAGAAAGGAGTTTAACAAGGTCTGAGATTAGAAGCTATGGGGAGAGCCTGGGATTTGACTGTTCTACTGTTGCCCTCCTTCTTGGCAGTCGTTCAGACTAAGAACAAGAAAACAGTCCCTGTGTGTCATCACCAGGGTGGAGGTTTCTGTGAGTCCTGAAAGAAGTCCTTGAGGACTCACTCTGGAGTCTCAGCCCTGAAAAAAAAAATCAAAGAAGAAAACTAGTTTCATCATTCAGTTATGCCTCTGACTTGAAAAATCTTCAAGCAGGTACTTCCCTGGTGGTCCAGTGGTTGGGACTCTGCTCTTCAAATGCAGGAGGCACTGGTTTGAACCCTGGTTAGGGAACTAAGGTCCCACATGCCACAATCTGTGGCCAAATAAATAAAAATAAATAAAACAATTATGGGATTTTAAATCATTAAAAAAAAAATCTTCAAGCAGATATAAACATATTCTGAATAAGCAGGCTGCCTTAGCGAATGCCTGTCTCTTACTACCCATGTAATGGAACAGAGAGAAGGGGTCCCTGCAGGAGTCTAATGGCTGGATTCTCAGTGTCCAGAAGGTAGCACCATTGTAAGTGGTGGGGATCTGTTTTTCTATCTGCTTTTTAAATTTATTCTTAATTGGTGGATAACTGATTTACAGGGATCTGTTTTTGACAATGAAGTTACTGAAATCTGGGGCAATATCTAAAAGTGAAAGTGTTAGTCGCTCAGTCTTGTCCATCCCTTTGTGACCCCAGGGGCTGTAGCTTGTAGCTTCCTTTGTCCATGAAATTCTCCAGGCAAGAATACTGAAGTGGGTAGCTATTCCTTCCTCCAGGGGATCTTCCAGACCCAGGGATCAAACCCAGGTCTCCTGAATTGCAGGCAGATTCTTTACTGTCAGAGCCACCAGGAAAGTCCACGTGTTTCAAAAGGGTGAGGATAATTTAGGGTGACACATTGGTGGGTGGTCTTAGCTGAACTGTTCAAGCTTTAATCAGGTCTCAGACCTGGCTGGGCCTAATACTCAATTCAGTTCCTATGGCGGTATTAACAGAAACTCAAAATGCAATACAGTGCCGCCCCCTCCTCGTGAGCACCAGTACTGTACATGTGGCTGCTTCCTGGCCAGTGAAGCTAACTCTAAGTATTTCCTCCCATGAGTCCACCTCAGGAAGTGAGTTGGGCAGGCCCACACCTCACCATGGGAGAACTGGACATCATAAGCACCTGTCACAATAAGAACCTGGGTAAGTGGGCAGGTGACAGATAGTCATACCTCACAGACTTGGTTTACCTTTTTTTTGGCTGCACTGTGTGATTTGCGGGATCTTAATTCCCCAACCAGGGATCGAACCCTGGCTCTCTGCAGTGAAAGCATGGAGTCCTAACGAGTGGACCACCAGGGAATTCCTCAGTTGACTAAGAAAAGCTGACTAAGAAAGAAAGGTGGCATTGCTTTGGGGTCAGCTCTTCAGAGAACACAATCTGGGTTCCCTACAAACTGGAGGCCAGTAACAAGATGGATTCTGTCAGGGAGCTGGACGCACTGACTGTTTCTAACACCAAGAGCCAGAATACCTCATGATTGCTGGACTGGACACCTGGCTTACTGTAACAGGGGGAGGACAGTGTCCCGCAGTTATAGCAGCTCAGGAACCAACTCTCTCCGTGTCCTCTGGCGCCTCAGCATCTGCCTCCCTTTCCACTCCTTCCCCCTTGACCTTCTCAAGGGTTCTGCATATGACAAAACATGCACACATCTACCAACCTTGGGAAGATGATTGGCAGGTATGGCTACCACAAGCTCAGGGAGGCTCTTCTATTACTGGGCTTGAATTGAATCCAGCAGTGCTGAATCATGACCAGCTTTACACACCTGCTAGTGCCTCAGTTCTGGCTGGAGTCCTGCCGGGGACTCCAAGAGGGACATTCGCGATCTGTATTAGAGAAAGAAATGAGCAGAAACTGTCAAACGAGCAAGTACTAGAAGTTATAACATCACTCCTAACAATATTAGGGAAGTTCCTTAATGGCTTTCCTATAAAGATGGATCCTTTTGAAATTCAGTATTTATGGTGCACCCATTGTATTTTGTTACTTTTTTTGTGTGTATTTTGTTAATTAAAAATTAAAAAAAAAAAATTGAAGTAGTGGCTACCCTGGTGGTTCAGTGGCTAAGACTCCACACTCCCAATGCAGCTGGCTTGGGTTCAGTCATTAGCCAGCGAACTAGATCTCACATGCTGCAACTAAAGAACCTGCATGTGGCAACTAAGACCTGGCACAGCCAAATAAATAATTTTTAAAAATCGAAATATAGTTGATTTAGAATGTGTTATTTTCCGGTATATAGCAAAGTGATTCAGATATATAACACATATATGGGCTTCCCAGGTAGCACTAATGGTAAAGAATCTGCCTGCCAATGCAGGAGATGGAAAAGGCACCGGTTTGATCCTGTGGGTGGGGAAGAGCCACTGGCGCAGGAAATGGCAACCTGCTCCAGAATTCTTGCCTGGAAAATTCCATGGACAGAAGAACCTGGCAGGCTACAGTCTATGGGGTCGCAGAGTCAGACACAACTGAGCCTATCTACCTATCTATCTACAAAACTGAATACATTCTTTTTCCGATTCCTTTCCATTACAGATTATTCAGTTCAGTTCAGTTGCTCAATGGTGTCCGGCTCTTTGCGACCCCATGGACTGCAGCATGCCAAGCTTTCCTGTCCATCATCAAATCCCAGAACTTACTCAAACTCACGTCCATAGTGTCGGTGATGCCATCTAACCATCTCATCCTCTGTTAGTACAAGATACTAAATATAGCTCCCTGTGCTATACAGTAGATCCTTGTTAATTTTTATGGTTCACCCACTTTAGGAAAGGAGCTACATTAAAGCGAATGATTTTAAGTTTAAGCTTGCTGGGGCTTAAACGCTAAATGGGTATTTAATATGGAAATTGGGGCCACATCTTAAGTATAAATGCACACAAAGGTAGGATAGTCCTTTCATCGGCCTTGCCGCTGGGCGCTCCCCGCCCCCTCCAGCCCCTACCCGACCCCGGCCGTAGGCGTCGCCATCCCAGGGTGCCCGGGCCAAAAACTTATTGACCAGTTTGAGGGTCCCAGAATCCGGTGCTCGTCGGCTGCGATGCGCGGATCTCAAGGGAGATCTCAATCCAGCGAGACACCGAGCCAGACAGGGGCTGCGTGGGGACTCTGACCAGAAACTTTCTCAACTGTTCGGCGGGGAAAACAGGAAAGTAACTTGCCACCGGTCATCCAGCGAGTCCGCGGCAGAGCGCAGACCACAACCCAGGTCTCCTGTCTGCCAGGATCGGGAGTCTCTCTCGGTCCTACAGCTCTCAGCCTTGTCTCGCCCCAGGGCGACCATTTCCGCCCCACATTCCTCCTCCTCTGACCCCCGCCCGGGGATCGCCGGCCGAGTCCCCGAGTTCCCAGTTCTTTGCTATTGGGGTCTCGCAGCCCCTCCAGGCCTCCTCTGCGCAGGAGCACTGCCCTCCGCGACGCAGACGAAGCGAGTACGGGGAGCCGCGAGGGTCAATCTCCGCGGGCGACTTCGCTTCTCCGCGTGCACATCAGTGGGCATGGTTGACTCCGCCTTTCTAGTGGGAGGACTAGTATCACTGCCAGAGCTGAGGCCCCGATCCCAGGCGCCGTCCAAGCGAAAGAGTTCCCGGTACCCGGCGCCGGCGCGATGTGGGTGTCGCTGCTGCTACTGGCTGCGCTGCTGCTGGGCATCCTCAGCAAAGTTTACAAGGGGCTGTTCTCAGGCAGCTCCCCGAACCCCTTCTTGGAGGATGTCAAACGGCCACCCGCACCTCTGGTGACCGACAAGGAGGCCAGGAAGAAGGTTCTCAAGCAAGGTGAGCGGGGGAGACACCCCGGGGACCTAGGCTGCACCCGAGCATCCTCACGGGTTAGCGTTTCCCAGATGCAAAGTGCTGGGAGGGCATCTTTGCATGCGTAGGCGCCCGCTCTAGAATCCACTCCTGGCGAGAGCCTTGGTCCCCGCAGGCCCGGGGAATCTTGGCCTCTGGGTCTCGGGCATCGTCCTCGGCGAGCCGAGTTCTTGTCATAGCCACGCTCAGACCCTGCCACTTGGTATAGCGATGGCTAACGGTTTAAACAAGAAGAGATCTTTCCGCCTCTTTGACTTTAAGACCGTAACATTTTCACTTATCTTCCCCAGGGGTTCAAGGGCGTGGGAGAGCTGCACGGAAACCTTTGTAGGAAATTGCATTTGGTTCATCAAGGAATGTGACTGATTGATTATGCTGGTCCCATCTCTTGTGGTTGAAGCGAGGCTCAGGGGGGTGCCTCGGGCTCAGAGCTCTTTGTTTAAGGAGGGTCGGTACGGTCATCTTTTAAAAAGTATTTGTGGGTTTCTTTTAGAGTTTAAAGAAAGAGTTCCGCTGCTTAAAAATAAATAAAATAAAGCCAGTATTGTTGTAAGCGGAAGGCCTATTATTTCTGAAATCAGAGGTTTAACTGGACTCTGTCACTGTCTCTGCCGGAGAGTCAAATAGGACTGAGCAACTGAACAACAAACAACACTTATTTACTCTGTGAAAAAAAATGAAAGTAAAAGTGTTAGTCACTATCCGACCCTATGCGACCCCATGAACCGTAGCCCTCCAGGCTCCTCTGTCCGTGGCGTTTTCCAGGCAAGAATACTGGAGTGGGTTGCCATTTCCTTCTCCAGGAGACCTTCTCCACCTAGGGATCAAACCCCAGCCTCCCACACTGCAGGCACTTTCTCTACAATCTGAGCCACCAGGGAAGCCTGATTTACTGTGTGAACATTAACAAATCACTCCATTTATCTAGATTGGTCTAAAGATGAGATGATTAGTTTATTTTTCAAACCAAGTTTTGATCTCTCCTAGTGGGTCATGATATCAATTTAGTGAGTTGCAACTAGCATTTTAAAATTCAGTCGAATGGAAAACATCAGTGTAGCCTATACAGTTCTGGTAAGTATTGTGAAACTTCTTTATATTATATACTGATGTATGTTCTGGATTATGAAATGTATTTTTCACTGTAGGTCTTTTAAAAAATGTTTGAAAAGTTCAAAGTTTACCGAGTTCTCTGGCAGCTTGAAAAATTCCAAAGCTCAGTTCTTCTGCAGTGATCTTGAAAGAATAGATCTTGTGGAGAAAGTGCCCATACGGCACCATGGGCTGTCCAGTTTTGTCTTGTTTAGGTGCCTCCTCCTTAATCCCACATCCAGGCTTCCCCAGTGTGAAGGGGTGGTGCTGTGATTTCTCAGAAGAGCTCTGTCCTGCCTCTGTATCAAGATCTTTAAGAACCAAGATCTGAGTGGGCTGCACCACTACTGCCTGCTGATCCTGCATTTTCTGAAGATAATCTGCCTGTGAATGGACGGTTGGATGAGCCACCATCCAGCCCCACGACACTCTTCTCCTGTCCCCCACCTCCTTGTTTTCTTTCTTCCCTAGCTCGGTCTCTGACTGCGCTTAGGATTCTCTACTTGGATCATGGTCAGCATTTGTGTGTGTGTGTGTGATAGTTTATGAATTATTCTTTCTTTGCAAGTAGGGAAAATCCTCAGCTATGTAGTGGTTTTGGTCTGAATCAGTTCAGATCAACCTAAATCACTTTGTTCAACCTTCTCCGGTGGGTCCTGAATATTTCCCAGGTAAAATGTTTGAGATATTTTAGTGAGGAGCTCTGTGCCAAACTGCTCTAGAAATTTTCTGGAGCATCATATAAGCTAGAACATTTTGCCTTGGTTTCCACCTCATTGTCCTTTCATTGCTCTCTCCATCTCCTCCTTTTCTGCAGCTTTTTCAGTCAGCCGAGTGCCAGAGAAGCTGGATGTGGTGGTGATTGGCAGTGGCTTTGGGGGCTTGGCGGCAGCTGCGATCCTAGCCAAAACTGGCAAGCGAGTTCTTGTTCTGGAACAACATACCAAGGCAGGAGGCTGTTGTCATACCTTTGGAAAGAATGGCCTTGAATTTGACACGGGTAAGGCTGCCAAGGCAAAGGGGTGGGAGCAGGAGGTTTGGAGCAGCCATAGAGGGACGATCCTGGGCTTTTCAGTGGTTTTGAAGGCCTGGGTTTCTCCCCAGGCACTGTTGGTCTGACAGCTTTCCTGCCCAAATTCCTTTTGAAAAATTCCAGTCTGATCTCAGATGAAGGGAAAAGGGGTTAGAGACACACCACATGTATCTCCATGGTCTGATAGCTGTACCTGCTGACCTGGGCGGGGATCTGGTGTTCTGCTGCAACTCCCCTTTACAGAAAGGGTGGGTACCTCCTCTGTGAGTGTGGACTTGGCCCTGTAGGACGCCTCTTTCACCTTGCTTCCTTGTTGGAGCCTTTCCAGGGCTTAATTCCCTTATCCCTATCATGCCTTGTTTTTCTGTCTCTCAACAGGAATCCATTATGTCGGGCATATGCAGGAAGGCAGCTCTGAGCGTTTTATCTTGGACCAGATCACTGAGGGGCAGCTAGACTGGGTTGCCTTGTCCTCTCCCTTTGACACCATGGTACTAGAAGGGCCTGATGGCCGAAAAGAGTTTCCCATGTACGCGGGGAGGAAAGCCTACATTCAGGGCCTCAAGGACAAGTTTCCCCAGGAAGAAGCTGCCATTGACAAGTATATGAAGCTAGTTAAGGTAACATGGACATGTGTTATTCCCAACAAGGCTCACCTTCCTCATTAGTGGAGTGACGGGTGAAGGAGGCAGGAAGGAGGAACAGACATGTTTGTCTGGAACTCGGCTCCGGTCCGAGTTGACCTCTGTGCTCAGCCAGGCCCTCTCTCTGGAGCCTGGGCTCAGCAGCTGCCACTCACACTCTGGCCTGACCAGACTGGCTTCCATCTGGTTACATCTCTAACCCCTTTTCACTTCATCTGAGACCAGATTGGAATTTTTCAA